AGGGTGAATGTGCAAAGGACGGTTGGGTGGGCCCGTGAGGGACAGATGGATGGATAAATGAGAGGAGGTGGAGGATGAGTTGCAGGTGGACAGGTGGAGGGGGTGAGGGGAGGATGGGTAGATGGATGGGTGGGGGTGAGTAGGGATGGGTGGGAGGTAGACGTGTGTGGATATGGAATGGGTAGAAGATTGACAAGAGGGGGCAGATGGATGGATGGATGGACGGGTAGGTGGGTGGTGAGATAAGTAGACTGAGACATTATTTCATTTAGTGAATATTTATTGAGTATCCACCTTGTGCTGGAAAACATTATGACACAAAGACAGACAAATCCCTGCCCTCCTGAAACTCATGTGACAAATAATAAATGACTGGATGGATGGAGGCATTATCTTCTTCTACAGGAAAGAAAATTTCAGTTCCAAGATGAAAATTCTCCCTGGGTTAGTTATACAATCTTCTCTGGGCAGGACCAAGAACAGAATCCAGCCAAGGGCCTTCAGGCACCATGGTAGAGGGTGGGGACTTTGGAAACAGGCTGCCTCTGTGGCTCTTTAAAGCCCCAGAGGTGGGCAGTGGCCTTCTCAAACACCCTGGGAAGTTGAGTCCAGAGAGCAAACTGACTTTACCTAGCTTATCCCTCCTTCCCACTGGGCAGCTGCCCCCTGGTTCCGGGTCACCCAGGGACACCTTTTCTCTGGGGCTTTCCCCAGGAAGACACCTGCCAGCCCATTTCAGGGAGCTGCTTCCTGCCTCTACTCAACAGGGCCTGGGGCAGCTGCAAGTGAGTGATTCCAAGGTGCTGCCTGGGGAGGAAGAGGGAGGCAAGGCAGCAAGGGAGTTTCCTAAGAGAGAAAGGCAGCCCATGACTCAGGGAGCAGCTGCTGGGAGCTCCCCCCACCATCCACACCCCAGTGCATGTTGGCATGTCCATATACCTGTAACTGCATGAGCAGTGTGTGCTTTGGTGGAGCCCAGCTGGGGCCTCTAAGGTGCTGCAGAGCTAGGCAAGATCAATGTGCTCTCTACTCCACTGCCGTGGAAGTCCTGGCCTTTGGATTTTTGCAGAACCTTCGAGGGTCTTGCTTCTGCTGCAATATGACCTTGACCCAGAACTGAAACAGTCTCTTCCTCATTTTTTACATACCCTGCCCAGCTTACACCAAGCAGAGGAAACTTTACTGAAGATTTTAGGGGGAGAGGGAGGGGGGAATGCAATGCAAACCACTTCAAATGTTTTAAATAAAATATTTGGGTTCTCAAGTGCCTGTGGAGTCACCCTCATGCTGTGCTGGCGTTTCTCTCTGCCTCCATGTGGTAGCCAGCCATCTGCAGACCCCTGCCCCTCACTCTGCGCCCACCCCATGCACTTCCTTCCTCCGGCTCCCCCAGCTTACCCTGGGGTCTCCAAATGGCCGGTTCGATTAGTTCCGCTCAGCTGCTTCTCATCCTAACTCTTAATGACAGAACAAAGGATGGTCTGCTCAGCAGACTCCCCACCTGCACTGTTCTTAGAAGGTGGTTGTACTTACACATTGGAACATTTTTATTATATTATCTGCTACATGTGCCTGGTTGAATACATGTCTTTTTGTGTTTGTGTGTCTGTGTATATAGGATAGGATGTGTATGTGGGGGAGCGGATGATAGTTGAGCAGGTGACTTACTGGGGTAAAGGCAGCAAGAGGGGGTGATGGGCAGCACCACAGGCCCAGAAGCATGATGGGAGCCAGGACTGGTGGGAGTGCCTGTTTTGTCACTTGTTGGCTGTGTGACCTCAGCAGATCCCTGTGTCTCTCAGACTCACCCCCTCTGTTTACAACACACAAACTATAGCAACTTAATTCTTAAAATTAAACACTTACTACGTGCCAGGCAATAAGAGCTTTATAAATAAAAATTCATTTTCATGATCAATACTTACAATACCCCTGTGACGTAGATACTAACGTTATCTCTACTTTACAGGTGGGGAAACTGAGGCATAGAGAGGTTTGGCCAGGGATGGGACGCGAGAGGGGCAGGGAGGGAGGCTGAATCAAGGGCCTTGAAGGCCGGGTGTGCAGGGCACTGGTTCTTGGGTGGTGTGGCTGGAACAAACTGTCATGGGGCTGGGAAGCCAGATGCCCCTGGACAGTCCTGCTGACCTAGGGCCTCTGTGGGCTCAGGACAGCAACATGGTGTGAACAAATGCAGCGTCATATGCGACAAAATGACCTCGAAGATCCCTGTGAATCTTCTAACCAGCTATCGACGAAATGAAGCATCTTGCGAAAAACCGGCCATCATGTAGGTACTGCCTCTCCGCCTCCGCACCCCTGTCAGGCCCTGGGGCTGGCCCTAGACCCCCCCAATGCATGTCCACATCCTCGCACCCCCACCCGGATTCCTAGCCAAGGGCCTCAGCAAATGCTCTCCAGCTTCTGGCCTGCTGGCCCCCTGTTGACCTTTGACATTTATGCCATATGCAAGGTGGGGAGCAGCTTCCTGCATGGCCTGGAGCAGCCACCGAGGAGGGTCACTTCTCCTGGACCAAAGAGAGCTCTGCGGCTCTGCAGCCTGCTGGGTTTTGTGGGGAGGTAAAGCGTGGCAGTCGCAAAGTGCAGGCTCCAGAGTCCAACAGATGTGGTGCAAGTCCCGGCTTGGCCACTCGCAGGCTGGGCGGCCCTGGTCGCATTGCTTGCCCTCTGTAAAATGAGTAGTTGGGAGGGCGAAAGGAGATAATGTGTTTGGGAGGGTGACCAGGAGCTGCTGGCAATCAGAGAGGCGGAGATAAGCATCTCCATTTGACAGACAAGGCAACGGGATTTCCATGACACTTTGGGCCAGAGTCCAGCCGAGCCGGGTCCCCCACAACTGTTGGGGACCCCTGGCCATCTTGGTTGCTTCCTCCTCTGGGGTCCCTCTTGGGTACTGCCCAATTGCCCAGCCCGGAGGCCTTTCTCCAGGACTGACCTCTGGGCCCTACAGCAGCACAGCCAGACCGAGCGGCCTGAAGCAAGGAGCGGCCAGTGGGCCTTTGCACCATCCCATCGCCTGTGCAGTTGCTTCAGGAGGGCCCAGTGTGCTCCTGCCCGCCACCTCTGCTCCCTGACCAGACTTGCTTCCCCTGGGCTCGCCCACATATTTGCTTCTGTTTTCTAGGGGAAGTGGGAAGCACCAGGGAGGGGACCTCAGCCCTGGGGCCTCATCGGCGCCTGTGGGGCCTCCTGGATCCCTCTTGCGTCCTGAACTGCTGTGGCTCCCAGCGTACTGGAGCCGGGAGCGTTTATGTGACTTCTCCGAGCCTTGATTTTCTCATCTGCAAAATAGGGATGAGCGTGGTAGCAGCCTTGCAGGAGGAGTGAGAGGTTTAAACAGGCGAAATACCCCGCAGAGGCCGTGGCCTGGAGCAAGGGCCCCAGTCAGCTCTGAGCAGTGAGCCAGCCACACACAGCTTCAGAGACAGCTCAAGATTTGGGTGGTACTCGGGGTCCCAATGAGGCCACCATATACATGACTGTAGCTCCCTAGGTGTCCTTTCAACCCAAGGACACACTTGAGGAGAAAAGGGTAGCGGTCCAGAGGGCAGCCTGTAACTGAAGGAGAGGAGGAAGGTGACCTTATGACATTGGATCCTTTCCAGAGTGAGGAGGTCCCACTGTGGAGCTTGCCAGTCACACTCCTAGTGGCAGAAAACACCTGTGACCTCTCCTCCCTTTCAAGACTCGCAGCCCAGAGCCCTTGCCTTAATGGCAACAATATTATTAAGATCATTATTGTTTTAAGCTATTACTGACCTCCTGCTCTGAGCCAGATGCTTTACATCATGAGTTTTGTTTTTTACAATAATACAGAAGCAAGGTGACCAACTTGTCCCGGTTTGCCGAGACTTGCACGAAAAGGCCAGCATCTCGAGAACCCCCTCAGTCCCAGTTGTTTTGGGACAGTTGGTCACCCTACAGAAAGTAGGTATCTTGTCTCCACTCCTCAGGTGAGGACACAGATGTTCCAGAGGTTGCATTAGCCCAGCTGAGCTCACAGCTAGTGAGTGGTGGGGGCAAGATTTCCAGCTGGGTCTGCTCACCTGCAGAGCATCGGAGTGGTACCCCTACTCCATATGGCATCTGGGCATCACTAGGTCCCTGTCTTCCTTCCTTTAGCTTGACGACCATCAAGAACAGAACCTTCTGTGCTGACCCAATGTTGGAATGGGTCCAGAAAGCCATGGAGAATCTCGACAGCAAGGCTCCTCCTCCTGGTGTATTTCAGAAGCAGCTCAGCGACACCATTGCTGGCTCCTGGGGGACCAGGTCCCCCACTGCTTCCAAGGCTCCAGATGGAGGGCCTTCAGCTGGGCCCGAGAGAACTGAGCTTTTCAACACCTCTGCTGTCACCACCTCCACATCCTGGCAGAGTTCTTCTGCTTACCAACCTTGGTCGGAGCTCCGGACTGAGGGAAAGTCCTCTGAAGCCACCTCCACCCAGACCCCCTCCACCCAGGCCCTCCCCACCCAGAACCCCTCTACCCAGC